ACGGCGGCTGGAGCCGCCAAGGTCGGAGGGAGGGAGAGAGAGAGAGAGAGAGAGAGAGAGAGAGAGAGAGAGAGAGAGAGAGAGAGAGAGAGAGGGGCGTAAGGGCGATGACGGCGATGCTCACCGTCGTCCCAGCGACCGGAAGTTTGCGGCAGGCCGCACGTCGAATTTGCACGAGTACCGGTCGCCCGTCCACGCGGTCGCTACCTCCGAAAACCAGCCACGGACGACCGTTGGTCCGACGGTCACCCGCCACGCTGCTGCCGGTACCATTTCCACTTTCGGCCTGCCTCCGGTGGACTGGAAATGGACCGACATCCGCCTTTCCCCGATTTTTTTTTTTTTTTGTTCCGGAAAATTCATCTTTTGCCGAACGTCCCTGACGTCCGAAGTATGCGGGGAAAATAGGAAAACTGGCAGTTTTCCCTAATTTGCCAACACTGGCAGAGGTACTAGTGGTTTAACGCTACTTCTTTTGATCGGGCCGGGCAACGCGGTGTCCAATAGATACGTCTCCTTCGACTGCTGGCAAAAGTGGTACCACAGCTGGTGAAGGTAACCACGATCCCGCTGATGATTTTCGAGCTTGATGGTGACGGCCGCGATCTTGCTAGTAAGGGCAACGAATCGTTCGGGGACGATAACTTTTATCTTGCTCAACATTTTCTCTTTCTCTCTCTCTCTCTCCCTATCATCGTTTCCCCTGCACACTCGCGTTCTCCCGTTCGCTGCTGCCTCCGATTTATGAATGCTCTTGACCAAAATGTAATTTTACAATCCACGACAACTCTTCTACTTCTTTCTCCAATTTTGAATGCATTTGGTCGTTACCCCAACCGGATTTGCATAACTTTTTATGAGTGTAGGTCCATGTGACTTCAAGGTAAGGGAAGACTCCGATCCGAGTTAAGCAACTCCAGGGGGGGTTGACTACTTTCAGAGTGGAAGTAGTAGATGCGGAACGACAAATCATGATAGAAGGGCAAACACAATCATGACATCACGAAATCGTGCGACAATGCTCGACTTGGTACGATCATGAAGACAAGAAAGCCGCAAGCGGATTGACTGCGACTTTGATCGAGGATGATGAGAGGAGGTAATAATTGCGATCTTAAGGATCGCAGCAATATTCTCATACGTGTCAATCGAGGATGAACTCACCGCTTGAGTTCGGGTAGATACTCCGCCTGTTGTTCTTCAATCACTACACTCGTGGCCTATACACATGATAAGTAAACCCGACTACACCATTGTGACTCTTTGCTTATCTCCCTACTTCTATTATATCG